GCGACGTCCGCCCCCAGCACGGCCGCGACGAGCGCCAGGCGCTGCGCGAGCTCAGCCGCCACGGCTTTCGGCTCGGGAGCACCGCCTGCGGCCCCCACGCCATCGGCCGCCGCCCCGCCGCTCGCAGGGGCAGGGGCGGCGCGGGAGGCAGCCAGGGCCGCGGCCTCGCCCGCCGGCCGCAACTGCGCGGCGCAGGTCGGCTTGCAAGCCCTCCACGAGCGCCTCGAGGTCGAGCACGCGCCGCAGCGCCGCCGCCAGGCGCCCAGCCGCCGCCCCACGGGCAGCGCCCTGCCAGGCACGCCGCGTCGGCCACGGCGACGGCGCAGCCGCTGTAGCCTCTGGGAGCTTCGCCGCCACATCGGCCGCCCTGCTCCCGCCCGCAGCCATCCCCCGGGGAGCCATCGCACCGCGGCAGAGACCCAACGCTGCCGCCCGCCTGGCGCCCAAGCAGGCATAAGCCAAAATGGCTACGGGCTCGCTCTCTCTCTCTCTCTCTCTCTCTCTCTCTCTCTCTCTCGCTCTCTCTCGCTCTCTCGTTCTCTCTCGTTCTCTCTATCTCTCTCTCTCTCTCTCTCTCTTTCTCTCTCTCTCTCTCTCTCTCGTTCTCTCTCTCTCTCTCTCTCTCTCTCTCTCTCTCTCTCTCTCTCTCTCTCTCTCTCTCGTTCTCTCTCTCTCTCTCTCTCTCTCTCTCTCTCTCTCTCTCTCTCTCTCTCTATATATATATATATATCTCTCTCTCTGTATAGATGTATAACTTCCTCGTTATGTGTGTGTATCTCTGTCTCTCTCTCTCTCTCTCTCTGTCTCCCTCCCGTTGCTGCAGTGCGTACGCGTTACATCAGACAACGACAACCACAAGAGCACGAGCGATGTGTTCCTCGTCCCCGATTATTGCCAGGACTACATTAACCAGCCGCATGTCCTCAAGGAGCCCCCTCTAAACCCCCATAGACCAGCGCACTTCGACCGCATCGCTGATGAGCCCTACCTGGTGCCAGTCCTGATCCAGCCCTCAAGGCTGCCAACCAGAGCCTCACACGGACACCAAACTCGGGACGAAGTCTGGCTTAAGTCTGAAGCCGCCGCGGGCCTGATGGAAGATTTCCTGGACCAGTAACCAAAGACACACACGCACGCACAGTGTGTGTGTGTGTGTGTGTGCTTCCCCGTTCATCGCGCAGACGGCGTTCTCCACCACAGGGTCGCCCAAGGCCGCCGCGCGCGCGGCGGCCCTGGCACTCACAGGCACGAGCGTGTTTTCCCAAGCAGAATGGCTCAAGGCCACCGCGCACGCGGCTGCCCTGCCCCTCGCGCATAGTGTGCGATCCCGCGCAGAATGGCCCAAGGCCACCGCGCGCGCGGCGGCCTTGCCCCTCGTTAACCATGCGTCTTCCCCAACAGAATGGCCGCGGCGGCCCTGCCCCCCGCGCGTGCTGTGTCTGCCCACACGGAGTGCCCCAAGGCCGTCGCGCGCGCAACGGCCTTGCCCATCGCGCGTTTTCCCACACGGAGTTGCCCGAAGCCGTCATGCGCGCAGCGGCCTCGCTCCTCGCACATGATCTGTATTCCCCACACAGAACGGCTCAAGGCCGTTCCGCGCGCGGCGGCCATGCCCCTCGCGCATCATGCATTTCCCCACGCAGGGCGGCCCAAGGCTGCCGCGCGCGCTGCGGCCCTGCCGCCCGCGCACGCTATTTGCTCCCACACAGAGTGGCCGCGGCGGCCGTGCCCCTCGCGCACAATGTGTTTCCCCCACACACAACGGCCTAAGGCAGCCGCGAGCGAGGCGGCCTTGCCCTTCGCACAGAGTGTGTTCTCCAACACAGAACGGGCCAGGGCCGCCGCGCGCGCGGCAGTCTTGCCCCTCGCGCACAGTGGCCCAAGGCAGCCGCGAGCGCGGCGGCCTTGCCTCTCGCGCATACGGTATTCGTCCACAGACAGTGGGCCAGGGCCGCCGCGCGCGGCGGTCTTGCCGACAGCGCACAGCGTGCGCTCCGCAACAGGATGGCCCAAGGCCGCCGCGCGCGCGGAGGCCTTCGCCCTGGCGTCCATTTTTTGTTTGCCGCAGAGGGGCCGGCGCCGCCGCGAGCGCGGCGGCCTGGCCCCTCGCGCGCAAGGTGCTTTCCGAAACAGAGTGGCCCAGGGCCGCCGCGCGCGCGGCGGGCGTCCTGCGCCTCGCGCGCACGGTGTGTTCCCACGCGGAGTGGGCCAGGGCGCGCGGCGGCCTCGATCCTCGCGCAGAATGCGTGTTCCCACGCAGCATATCCCGAGGCCGCCGCACGCGCGGCGGCCTTGCCCATCGCGCACGCAGTGCGCTCCCACACGGCAGGGGCAAGGGCCGCCGCGCGCGCGGCGGCCCTGCCCCTCGCGCATCGCGTGCCTTTCCGCACAGAAAAGCCCAGAGCCGAAGAGCTAAGTCCCACACACCGAAGAGCGTCAAGAGGAAGAGAACAGACTGCACAACCAACCGCGAACGAAGCGACACCCACCACTCTCCACAGAGCACGTTTCGTTCCCGCATGTGCCGTTCAGCCGGCAACCTCATGTTCACAACGGCACACGCGGCGCAGCCTTCCCCAAACCAAACAAAAACACGTTCCAAATTCAACAAAGACGCAACATGGCAGGTTCCAGCCCTCCTGGACACGAAACAACAAGCACATAATTCGGATGTGCTTACCGTCTCGCGAAAATGTTTGATTTGCATGTTATTTATTTCTTGGCTCTCAGCGTTTAAGGGGAGGGCTTTCTGTAGACAAGGCCCAGGCTAAGTGACCCTTAACTCGCATTAGGTGGAGAGGAAGAACCAGACTGGCTCGCGTGGAATGCAGCACACAATCTGCTGCAATGCGCAGCGCGCACGCTTCACAGTGCACTTATTCGGATTCTAGAAGCCTGTCACCATGCAACCACCGCGAAGGCAGTCGGCCAAGATGCGAAATATGGCCTCGCAGCACGTGGCTTCGGTGTGGCAATATAAATCAAATGGACTCGGGGATGTGCGGAGCCAGTCGGCGGGAGGACAGGGCGGCGGACCTCTCACTGTTAGCTGCGGCCACAAGATTGCAGGAGGAAGCGCACAAAAACAAAAACAAAAAAAACAAAAAAAAAAAAAAAAAAAAAAAAAAAAAAAAAAAAAAAAAAAAAAAAAAAAAACATCCTGATAACCCCCCTGTTTATGTTCCTGTGCCAACTACAGTCAACCCGTATAATAAGGATGTGCGGTAAGGATGCAAGGGCCTTGGAGGCTCATGGTAACGTTGTTCGATCGAGGTTGGCCAGCGAGAGTCGCTAAGGATGGACCGAAGATGCAAGGATGCAAGGGTACCCGTAGAAGGTTGTCCATCCTCACAAAGCGGGTTGACTGTACTGCTCCTCCCTACTCCCTCCGCCCCCCCCCCTCCCGCCCTCTCCCCCCCTCCACCTCCTTCCGCCTTCTGGCCCCTTCTCCCCCAAATCGCCCCGGCGCCAGGGCTCCCCAACCCTCCTCCGCCGCCTGTCCCTCCTGCTGCTCCATTCTCCTCCAACGCCCCCTCGTGCCACTATTATTATGTCGGGCGTGTCCCCCTACAGAGGGATTTTCGACGAGAATCAAAAGACACCCCCAAAATACCCCAAAAATGCAAAAAAAAAAAAAAAAAAAAAAAAAAAATCCCCAGACTAAATTGGAATAATTTTTGACTATTCTTGGGGTATTGTTTATTTTTCGTCGACAATCCCCCTGTAGGGGGACAGGCCCGACTTAACACTATTAACTAACCTCCTTCCTCGTTCTCCTCGCAGTAGGCCTCGTCATCCTCCGCCCCCTCCCCCGAAAAGCTCGACCTCCCCCCTCGCTTAGTGGGCCCTGGAAACGACAGGGCCGTTTTTTTACCGGTTCCGTTTTGCCGTTTTTGTCGCCGGTTCCGACGCCGTTTGTTCACCGGCTCCGTCGCCGTTGTTTGACCGGTTCCACTCCTGGAGCCGGCGTTTTGCCGTTGCCAGTCGCCGTTTTTTTGCCGTTTGTATGTTCAAGGGACATTTTTGGGGAAACGGTGAAAAAACGATCCTGCCGTTTCCGGGGCCCACTAAGTGTAGGCCTACCAAACAATGTTCTAAGAACCTGTTGTGGTTCCCACGACAAGTTCTTAGAGCAATTCTGGCTGGGACCGTCTTGTTTTGACACATCGGGTTTATGTTCTAAGCGCACTGTTTTGTTCCGGGGCCCACAAAGCCCCCTCGCCACCCCCACGGCCCGCCTCCTCCGCACAGAGGAGGGCCCCGCGAGGGGCCCCAGAGGAGCGAGCACCGCGCGGCCAGACCGGAGGTCGGCGACGAGGAGAAGGACGAGAAGGACGAGGATTAAGTCGGGCCTGTCCCCCTACAGGGGGATTTTCGACGAAAAACAAAAAATACCCCAAAAATAACCCAAAAAAAATCCAAAAATAGTGTGGGGACTATTTTTGGATTATTGTTCTTGATTAATCCAAAAGAAAGGACCCCCATCGCTTCGGAACGCAGCACAGAAGCAAGATCCGTAGAAACTTTCCGCAAGAAACACAACCTTGAGACCCCAGGACGTCCGTCGATGTTTGGTGTGGGGACGTCGTGCTTCCCATGGCAAATCCATCGAAACCCAAGACACCCGAGGCACCGTGGAGACAAGCAGGGTTTTTCTGGGCATGGGCCTCCACCGTAGCGAACCCAGGGCCTTCCAACGCCTGCGGCCAGTGCAGCTGCTATCAGGTTTGCTTTTTTTTGCGAAACGAAAGGAGGAGACCGCAGATCACCACAAGCTCGACGCAAGCTCGACGCAAGCTCGACGCGGGAGGAGGAGGCAACAATATCAGGTTGCGCCCCCAAAGGTCTCACTGTGGCTCAAAAGGGACACCACGTTCGGAGGAGGAGGAGGAGGAAAAGGCGGGAGGGGGAGGGGAGACGACGAGGGCGAGGAGAGGAAGAAGAAGGAAGACGACGAGGAGCTATCAGGGCGCTCCGCCTGGGCGCTTTTCTCGCCTCCCTCACGCCACCGCTGCGGCACCGTCGGCCGCGGCACCCCCGCGGCCGTCCAGGGAGTCCCTGGCGGCCTGGAGGAGCGCCAGGGCCTCGTCGGGCTCCCCGAGCTCCAGGTGCAGGGCGGCCATCCTCGGACGGAGGGGGGGGAGAGATATGCGGGTCCCAAGAATATACACCACCACCACCACCACGTCGATTCCTCCATCTTCCTCCACCCTCATCTTCCTCTCCTCCTTCCTCAGGGAGGGAGGGGATGAAGGAGGTGGTGGTGGTGCATACCTTCGGGCCCCGCAAGATAGGAGGCAACTACTGGAAGCTCTTCGTGGGTAGGACGAAGGAGGATGAAAGCCCCATCGGGGGGCTGCTGCGCCCGATCAGGCCGCAGATCAAGCGGGATGAAATCGGCTTCAGCGGGATGAAAGCCGGACTCGGCGAGATTCAGCCGATTCAAGCGGGATCAAGCTGGATTTGAGCCGAATGTCGGACCAGGGCAAAGTCGGAGTTTGCCCCTCAGGAGCTGCATCCGAAGGAGGGGAGTCGAGTCGGATCCGCTCCTGAGGCACCGAGTGGGCTCGCCCTCGCGGGAAGCCCGGGCCACCGCTGGCGCCCGTGCCGGTTTTTATCGTGTGGAGTCTTCTTGCTGGGAGCGGGGAGAGGGAGCGGGAGGAGGAGGAGGAGGAGGAGGAGGAGGAGGAGGAGGAGGAGGAAGAGGAGTGAAGAGGGAGTGAGGAGGAGTGAGGACGACAGAGGAGGAGGAGGAGGAGGAGGAGGAGGAGGAGGAGGAGGAGGAGGAGGAGGAGGAGGAGGAGGAGGAGGACCAATTCTGGAGGCCGTGTGATCCGTTCCTGTCTTGAGCCGGTGCTGCCTCTCCCCCTTTGGGATCGTCGGTGTGTGTGTGTTGAGGAGACCACTGATGTCCTGCTGCATGGCACTGATGGCTGGCCCCGAAGAGGGCGCTCCAATCTCCTTTTCCTTTTCCCCGTCGCCCCGTCCTAGAAGAGGATTCACACATGGATAAGCAGCCTTGAGTTCAGTCGAGTCGAGTCGAAGTGTAGAGGCCTCCCAGATGGGGTGCGAGCAGACGGGGTCGGAGGATCGCGCCGCATCGCCAATGCATCGCCGATGCACCGGCGATGCATCGGCGACGTCGGCGATGCACCAGCGACGTTGGCGTGGAGGAGATCGAGCTCCACATCGAACCGCATCGCCGATGCATCGGCGATGAGGCGCGGTCCGCCGACTCCATCGACCTCGACTCCACTTGGTCGGCCTGGAAAGTGCCAGAGCAGCAGTAGAGGCACGAGGAGGAGGAGGAGGAGGAGGAGGAGGAGGAGGAGGAGGAGGAGGAGAGGAGGAGGAGGGAGAGGAGGAGGAGGAGGAGGAGGAGGAGGAGGAGGAGGAGGAGGAGGAGAGGAGGAGGAGGAGGAGGGAGAGGAGGAGGAGGAGGAGGAGGAGGAGGAGGAGGAGGAGGAGGAGAGGAGGAGGAGGAGGAGGAGGAGGAGAGGAGGAGGAGGAGGAGGGAGGAGGAGGAGGAGGAGGAGGAGGAGGAGGAGGAGGAGGAGGAGGAGGAGGAGGAGGAGGAGGAGGAGGAGGAGGAGGAGGAGGAGGAGGAGGAGGAGGAGGAGGAGGAGGAGGAGGAGGAGGAGGAGGAGGAGGGAGGAGGAGGAGGAGGAGGAGGAGGAGGAGGAGAGGAGGAGGAGGAGGAGGAGGAGGAGGAGGAGGAGGAGGGAGGAGGAGGAGTCCGGAGGGAGGGAAGGAGACGGGGGAGGAGGCCCGAGAGACGGGCAGAGGGAAGGACGGCCGAGGGCGAGGAGGACGAGGCAGGGCGGCCATCCTCCGCAGCAGCTGGGCCCCTCTCAGCGTCTCGAGCATGCCGTCTTTGGCGAGCAGCTCCCGGACGGCGGCCAGGTCCACCAGCGCCCGCTCCCACTGGCCCAGACTCGGGGGAGGGAAAGGGACGAGAGGGGCGGAGGAGGGGGGAAAGCATCGTGGGATCGCGCCAGCGAAGTGAACATCCAGATCCATCCTCGAATCCAGGGGGGTCGCGTCACACGAGTCCTGTGCTCGCGCACCCGAAGGAGAGGCCCTCGTCGGGACCTTCGCAGCAGCCCGCACCGCCCTTGGGACCCTGGGTGGCTGGGGAAGGGAGGAGGAAGGGGGAGGGAGAAGGAGGGAGTGGAGAGGGGGAGGAGGGGAAGGGGGAGGATACCGGAGGAGTGAGGATGAGGAGGCTTGAGGAGGAAGAGGAGTGAAGAGAGAGTGAGGAGGAGTGAGGACGAAGGAGGAGGAGGAGGAGGAGGAGGAGGAGTCAGGAGGAGGAGGAGGAGGTGAAGGAGGAGTCAGGAGGAGGAGGAGGAGGAGGAGGAGGAGAAGGAGGAGAAGGAGGAGGAGGAAGGTCAGCCCAGCCTCGCGTTCGCGTCGCCCGACCTCGAGAAGAGCTCGGCGCAGTCTAGGCCGTGCGGGCTCACGACGCCGCGGTCCAGAAGCGAGCGCGCCGCGTCGAGCTCCCGCAGGGCTCGATCCGGCTGCCCCATGTCCACGCAGGCCGAGCCAGTGGCCAGGTGGAGCGCCGCGCTCTCCTCGGAGTCCTCGGCGCCGGCGTCGACGAGGAGAGCCCTGGCCTCGGCAAACTCCTGCAGCGCAGGGGTCATGTCGCAGTCCTGGGCCAGGGCGCTGCCCAGATTGGTGAGCAGCCCGGCCCCCTGGCGGCCGCACAGCGCGCCCTGCGCGCGGAAGGCGGCCTTGGCGGCGCGCATCTCTTCGGCGGCCTCACCGAACAGGTTCTCCGCGGCGAGCGCCACGCCGAGGTTCGCGAGGAGGCTGGCCGCCTCCCGAGACTCCAGCCGGCCTGGCAGGAGGGCGCCGACCGCCCGCGAAACACCGGCCCTGGCCAGGCCCAGCCTGGGCCCAGGGATCGGTGCCTGCACCGACCCGGGGCCCAGCCTGGGCCCAGCCAGGGCTGGCACGTGTGTACGGGGCAGTTTTTTATACACGGGATGCTTTTTTTTTTAATGGAGGGTTTTTCATACATGACTGAAACTATGCATGAACTCCTCGCTGTTTTGAACACTAAATCCCTGCATGTTTGATACCTGATCCGCACGCGGAGCATGTATCAAAAACGGCACTGTACTTTCGACCCGCACAGTAAGGATGCGCGGTAGGGATGCAAGGGCCGTGGATGCAAGGGTACCCTTGGGAAGGGTGCCCATCCTTGTTGTGCGCATGATGCATGGCCATCGCCGCCCGACCTTGCTCCTCCAGGATGCCCTTGGCCTCCTGGTACGCCGCCGCGCCCTCCCCGTAGCGGCCGAGGGCCAGCCGGGCCTCCCCGAGCGCGGCGAGCACGCCCGCGCCCCGTGCGCTGTGGAGGCCGCCCGCGGCCTCCAGCAGGTCGCACGCCGCCTCGAGGCGCTCCACGGCGTCGACGCCCTCGCCGAGCTCGGCGTGCGCGTCGGCCATCTTGGCCAGGAGCTCCCACCCGGCGGCCTCGTCGCCCTCGCCGCGCAAGGCCCACGCTGCCCTGTACTGCTCGAGGGCGGCACCCGCATCCCACTCTGCGAGGTGCGCGTCGCCAATGCTCACGAGCAGGGAGGCGGCTGCCTCTGCGGCGGCTGCCCCGTCGCAGGAGCGCAGCAGGCAGCTGTTGATGGGCCTGTGTTCCACCACCACCACCACCACCACCACCACCACCACCACCACCACCATAAAATGGAGGGGGGAAGGAGGTGGAGGACGAGGAGGACGAGGAGGACGAGGAGGAGGACGAGGAGGACGAGGAGGAAGAGGAGGAGGAGGAGCAAGAGGAAGAGGAGGACCCCCTCCTCCTCCAACTTGTGGTGGTGGTGGAAAACAGGCCCATCAGCCGTGGGCCGCCTGGTACAGACGCCTGGCCTCCGGGTGGTCGGCGCGGCTGGAGGCGGCAGCACCCTCCAGCGCCAGCCGGCGCCACTCGCAGGACTCCTCTGCTGGCCCTGCGGGCCTCGCCCCCCGCGGGCGACCGCGCCGGAGGCCGCTGCCGCCGCCCAGCCCAAGGCCCAGGCCCTCCAGCGCCAGCCACCGCCACTCCCGGGACCCCCCCGCGGGCCCCGCCGCCAGCGAACCCCCGCCGCGGCCGCCGCCCCGCGGAGGGCCACGGCGGCCCAGCGCGCCCGGGCTGCCCCTGCTGGCGGCGGGCGCGCCTCGAAGCGTCCACGGCAGGCACGCCGCGAGAGCGGCCGGCGCCGCGGCGGCCAGCGCGGGCGCGGCCGAGGGGCAGCCGGGTGGCACGGCTGGGCCGCGCGCGCGACGGCGGCCCGACCGGGCAGCGCGGGGCCGCGTCATCGCGCAGCCTGCGGATGCAGGCCAGCTGGGCAGCCGAAGCGGCCAAGGAAGGCAAGAGTGCCGGGATGCCCTTCGGAAAGCTACTCGTCCCCACGATGCGCATGGACCGTCAGGGGTGGGTGGAGTTCGGGCGGCACGCGCCGAGCTTGCCTCGGAGAGGCAGACGGGGGTGGCGAGGGCATGCCGCGCACAAGCACAGTGCTGGTGCTGCAGCAATCCGTCCCGCCCGAAGTTCGCCCGAAGTCCCCTCCGTCCAAATCCAAACAACTCACAGTGAGCCGCGGGATCGCAAATTGATCTGCGCTGCCCTCACCTGCACCGCGCCCCCCAGGAGTCAAAATGAGTGTGCATGGCCCCCGACTCCGCTGGACCTCCGAGGAGCCCACGAAAGTGGCGACGGTTGCGCACTTCGCAACCTCCCTGGAAGCAGCGAGATCTCCCATGGATCCGCGAGGTCCCCGACTCCAGTGGACCTCCCAGGAGCCCACGAAAGTGGCGAGCAGTTCGCAGCCTCCGAGGAAGCAGCGCAGTCCCCAATGGATCCGCGCTGAACCTCGAGCGCGTTTCTTTATGTTCGGCGATGACGGGCGTCATGGGGGGAGGGGGGCGGGGGGGGGGGTATGACATAACGCCCCCCCCCCGCCATGTGGCTCCGGCACCACAGCCGCGCCCGCGCGCACGACGCGACGATTGACGAGCGACGAGCGACGACGACGACGACGACGACGACGACGACGACGACGACGACGACGACGACGCCAGCAGCATGCAAGTGGCGATCTGCCCCACTGCGCCTGTGTACACCACAACGCTCGCGTGCACCACAGCGCGCGTGTACACCACAGCGCCTGCGTACACCGCAACAGCCGTGTGCAGCGCAGCGCCTGTGTATACCAAAGTGCTCGCGTACACTACAGCGCCGGTGTACATGTGTACATCGCAGCAACCATGTGCAATACAGCGCTTGTGTACACCACAATGCTTGCGTGCACTGCAGCGCCTGTGCACCTGTGCACGCCACAGCGAAAGTCTACACCACAGCATCCGCGTGCAACGCAGCGCTGGTGTACACCACAGTGCCTGCGTGCATAGGACAAGTAGAAGGATCATGTACGTGAGGATCTGCTGCGGACAACTAAACGCCACGCCAGAAAAGTGCTGATAATCGAATGCGACGTTCTTCCGTCCTCCCTCCTTCTCCACCTTCACCTCCTCCTCCTCCTCCTCCTCCTCCTCCTCCTCCTCCTCCTCCTTCTCCTCCTCCTCATTATCCCCTGTCGTGCGGGTTGGCGCTACAGCGCACGTGCGCATCTCAGCGTGCACCACAGAATGGTCTATTGAATCGGTCCCTTTGGTTATCGGACGGCCAATTTAGCAAGAGCCTCCTGGACGAAGACTCGGGAGGACTCGTAGATTCCAGCGGCGCTCCTTTGTCCGTAAGGATTCCCTTTCTATTGTTTTCTGTGGAATACACAAGCGCTCCATCATAAGGATTCCTTCGAACATTCTATATACAACAGTGGTGCTATGTTGCACATGGATGCTGTGGTGCACACAGGCGCCGTGGTGTACACAGGCACTGCAATACACGCAGGCATTGTGGTGTACACTGTGCTGTGTTGCACACGGCTGATGTGGTGTACGCAGGCGCTGTGGTGTACACAAGAGCTGCTGTGCCCGCAAGCACGGTGGTACAAACTGACGCTGTGTTGCATGCGGCTGCTGTGGTGTACACAGTCGACGTGGTGTACACAGGCGCTGTGGTGCACGCAGGCAATGTGGTGTACCCAGGCGTTGTGGTGCAGATCGCCACCTACATGCTGGTGCTTCTCGTCCTCCATCATTCCTAGGCATTCCCAGACACCGCTGGCGCGAAACGTGACGTCATCGACCCCCTGCACCCCCCCCCAGATGATTGCCGTCATCGGCCCTCAATAAAAAACAGGCTCCAGCCGCGTCCGCGCGCACGACGACGATGAGCGACGAGCGACGAGCGACGAGACACGAGCGACGATGACGACGACGACGACGACGACGACGAAGACGACGACGACGACGACGACGACGACGACGACGACGACATCGGACCAGACTCCTATGCGGATTCCTACGCGGACACCTACGCGGCCCAGATCCCAGTGCGCACGGCGGCAGTGCCCGGAGCGCACTGGGGGGGGGGGAGCGTTACGTCAGATGGGGGGGGGAGCGGGGGCCATGACGCCCGTCATGCCCAAAGCAATAAAGAAACGGGCTCCTCCCAGGAGCCCACGAAAAGTGGCGGCAGTCGCGCACTTCGCAACCACCCAGGGAGCAGCGAGGCCCCCAATGGATCCGCGTGGCCCCCGACTCTGCTGGACCTCCGAAGAGCCCGCGAAAATTGTGACACTTGAGCAGTTCGCAGCCTCCCAGGAAGCAGCAAGGTCCAAAACGGATCCGCGTCGACCCCGACTACGCTGGACATCCTAGGAGCCCACGAAAAGGGCGGCAGCTGCGCAACTTGCAGGAACCCAGGGAACCACGAGGCCCCCAGTGGATCCGCGGGGCCCCCACATCCGCTCGACCTCCCAGGAGCCCACGAAAGGGGCGGCAGTTGTGCACTTCGCAGCCTCCCGGGGAGCAGCGCATGAGGAGGCAGGAGGTCGCAAGAGAGAGGAGAAGAAGGCGGAGGCGAACCCAACACAGGAGGTTTTGGAACAGAACGGTGAAGGGTTGTCAATCGAATGCACGCGGGTTGAAGACATTGCCAAAGCTAAAACGGACCATCCTCCTTCCGTGCAACTGCTGGGTAGTGTTGGGACGGCTGTCCGCGGCGCCAATGAGAGCAGCTTGAAAACAAACCATCCTCCGCCCATGTGCTTCAAACGAATGTGCGCGGCGCTGCACACCTGTTGTGGAGGGCCCCGATCCGCATAACTGCTGCAATGCTCAAAATGCACAGGCTGAAATTGCAGATATGTCTCAAGCGAGATGTTCAGACGTACCGGCATGTCTGGTGGCGCGGCAGACTAAAACTCACACTGAAAGAGGATGGACGAGGAGAGCGGACAAGGTAACGACGACGACGACGGCGACGGCGACAAGGAACGGGAGGAGGCCGGCAGAGCCGCCCAGCAATGTCAGCCGGCATTGAGACGGCGGGGGCTGGGAACATTGAGACGATACGAACTGTATACTCGTCCTCCTCATCATCATCCTCCTCCTCCCTCCTCCTCCTCCTCCTCCTTTTCCTCGTCCTCCTCCTCCTCCTCCTCCTCATCCTCCTCCTCCTCCTCCTTATCCTCCTCCTGCTCCTCCTCCTCGTCCTCCTCTCCTCCTCGGGCTCCTCCTCCTCCTCCTCCTCCTCCTCCTCTTCCTCCTCCTCCACGGCGCCGCAACACCGCCGCCGCCGAAGCGCTCGGCGAACTCCTGCGGGCCGACACGCGCGAAGAAAAGGTATGTCGAAGAGCGGAAGAAACCAAACGACGCGGCTAGGTCGGCATTAGCGAAGGCATCGGCGGCATGAGCATGGTCATGAATGGTTCCGCGCGACCGCCCCCCCGCGGCGAGGGAAGGGGTAAGGGAGGAGACGAGGAGGGAGGAAGGGAGAGGGAGGAAGGGACGGAAGAGCGGAAGAGGGTGAAGAGGAGGATGTTTGACCAGGGTGATGCCTGCATGCCTGCTCCTGCAGGGAAAATGGCTCGACCTGGACACTCGAAAGTTTGGGGTGTTTCCTGCTGCACATCAATATCCAGGGCAGCAGTGCTGCTTTGGGCTGAGGACGGCTTTGGCAATGTTTGCCAAGGTTATTCTCACCCCCACTTGTATATGAGAAGCACTTGAGAAGTAAAATGGGAAGCCATCGGCGCTTGAAAAAAATGACGATCTGATGGCCGTGTCGGGCAGCGGCTGGGATCCATTATGATGAGGAACCTCGACGTCCCCTGCAAAAAAGATTATGATCCCTCCTGCTCGTAACCAAGCACACGTAGCACCTCCAACATCTGCGGCAACAAGACCAATCGTGATTGGGACTGGGAGGCTTCATTTGCCTCCCCCCCCCCGAAACGGAACCTCGTTTGGTTTTAAACAAGGCCAAGCTGGGAGCGATCGCGCGATGGTCATCAGACCCTTGATCCTATCAAGCTCTGCATGTGACGGCTTCGGGTGTAGATGAGCTCCCCTCGTAGCCGCCAGGTCACATTCATCATTGCCCAGCTAGCAAGCCTCGATGCCTTCAAGGCCTCCGCCAGAGGCATGGATTTTGACTTTTGAACACGGGGATACCAGAAACTGCTCAGATTCAACAGACACCTGCGCACTACTTTCAAAAACACGGTTGCCGGGAAATGTAAGTCTTGAAACTCTGGACTAGGCTCTCACAGTCAGAGTACCCCACAGACTGGGACCAGGGGAACTGGTTGGAGGCCCCAAGCACACAAAACTCACTTGCCTGGAAGGCCTGACGGGGGCCAACTAGGAACAGAGCCCTACAAGGTGTAAACAAAATCCTGATTGTCGCTAGACACGGACATCCCCCGGCCAGCACGACAGAACTCAGGGATTTGCCTTTTAGCTGACAACCGTCGAGAAACACATGCCCCGAAATGGCCATAGCTTCAAATCACCGATCATCAACCCACAGAAGAGCCACTCCACTTTCACGGATATGGGAAAGAAACACATCTCCAGGACGAGGAAAGAGCCCAGTGGAACACACGAGTTTGACGGGATCGCACGATCAGTGAGCGACGATTAAAAATCCTCTGGTCTGGTCCCACAGGCGACAGGACAGCACCGAAGGAGGCGAAATGCACTGTCACGCCCGCCACACAAAGGGAACGAGATGTCCTCGAGCACGCATCCTGCCCCGTGCGCACGGGGACCTGTCCACATGATTCCACAAGCAGATGAACGCAGGCAACTCTTCTCGAAGGCGCCCCACGCGCTGGTGTTGAACTCCCGGGGGGGGGGGGTCCACGCTGATCCTGGAACCTCCCTCGAGCCCATGGGAACGGCAGACTGAAGTTGACGGACAAAACCCCTTCCCTGAATTTGTTCCCCAGAGACGAGGGCCGGCAGCGGCGAAGCCGGCTGAAACTCCCAGGCCCGCAACGCACTTGGCGAAACCTCCTCCTCCTCCTCCTCCTCCTCCTCCTCCTCCTCCTCCTCCCTCGGCATCGCCCAACCTACGCAGGCGCAAAAACAAGCTTGCGCTGTAGACATCGGACGCGCTGCCATTCTCAAGGTCGGCCGATCTCCTGAGGAGGCTGACCCCCATGCTAACCTGAGAGAACTGGACAGAACGGCAGACTGGCATTGCCTGGCCCTGTTAGACCACATCTCTAAAGAATACCTGGGAACGGGCGCGACGTTGGCGTAATAGCGCGGGTCGTGCTCCAAAGCGGAGGGAGACGTGAAATCGCCTGGGACCGGCAGACGGTGAAACGCCCTTGCCGAAGCACGTCCAGAGAGCCTATAGTCCCCCATCTGACGCCCTGTGCACTTCAGCCCGCTGGGTGGCGCCACAAAGAGGCCTAGAAATGAGTCGGGCGTGTCCCCCTACAGGGGGATTCTCGACGAAAAATAAAAAATGCTCAAAGATACTCAACAAATGCTCAAAAATACTCAAAAAACAGTCCCCTGACTATTCTTGTTTGACTATCTCTGCATATTCCCCCTGCAGAGGGACAGGCCCGACTTAAGCCTAGAAACGAGCAGACCCCTGGGTCATTTCACCAATGCCTTCCATTTCGACTACGTTGCCTCTTTGAGAAGACTATTCTTGGGACTATTCCTGGATCATTGTTTGACTATCTTTTGGTGTATTTTTTGACCATGCTAAACCCTATACCCAAAACTTAGTCCCCAGAATTAAGCCTAGAAATGAACAGATGCCCCAAAAAAATCAAAAAACAGTCCCCAGACTAGTTCTTGACTATCTTTGAACATTCCCCCTGCAGAGGGACAGGCCCGACTTAAGCCTAGACATGAGCAGACCCCTGGATCATGTCAACAATGCCTTCGAAGCCTTCCCAAACCTAGAAATGAGTATCGAAAGCTGGGCGAGGGCTGCCAAAACCGTGGCTGCTAAAACGGCCCTCCCGGAAGGAAAAAACAACTTCCCGGAATGAGGCGCGGCACGCGAAACAGCCAACGGGCTCCTTCCCGGCAGGACGAAGACAACTTCCCGGAGGCCGATTTTAGCAGCCACGGAGTTAGCAGCCCTTGCCCGGCTTCTGAGAGTAGATCCCTTGATCCTGTCACCAAGGCCTTCGAAGCCTTCCCAGGACCTCTGGGCGCGGGCCCTCGGCGTCCGACGCCTGCGCGCCCGCGGGCGCTGCCGGCAGCGCCGTGCCATGCACGCAGAGGGCGACGGCGGCCGGGCGCCGAGCAACGGGGCTACCCGAGCACGCACGGGGAGACACAACTCCTGCGAGCGCGTCGAAGATATGCACGGCCTGTACATATATATAAATAAATGAATAAATAACTATATATATACAAGATTTGATGATACGTACATACAGACATACATACATACAGACAGACAGAGAGACAAACAGACAGACAGACAGACAAACAGACAGACAGACAGACAGGCATACAGGCATACATACATACATACATACATGCATGCATACATACGTACGTACGTACGTGCATACATGCATACATACATACAGACAGACAGACAGACAGACCGACATGCATGCATATATACATACATACATACATACATACATACATACATACATACATACATGCATGCATGCATGCATGCATGCATGCATACATGCATACATACATACATACATGCATACATACACATGCATGCATGCATGCATGCATGCATGCATATATGCATGCATACATACATGCATACATACATACATGCGTGCATACATGCATACATACATACATGCATACATACACATGCATGCATACATGCATACATACATGCATACATACATGTATGCATACATACATGCATACATACATGCATACATGCATGTGCATACATATACATATATATAGTATATACACATGTATGCATACATACATACATTTATGCGCGCGAATGCTGCTGCAATGGAACATTCAGAGATCACACCGCTGACAGAGCACAGCGCGCCCGTCGCGATCGAAGCGAGCGCGAAAAATCTAACGCTCCGAAATACGGACGCACACACATAGTAATTGCCCAAGAAAATCAAGCTGCCACCACGTCCCGGCACCCCCACCCCACGAGAGCTCAGTTCTTGAGACCCCTCCACACGACAATTTCTGGCCCGAACCGTACCCACACACCCCACCACGCTCCCACCACGCTCCCACCACGCGCCCACCACGCTCCCACCACGCCCCAGCAGCCCCATCCCACTAGAGCTCAGGTCTTGGGACCCCCCCACACGACATCTTGGCCCGAAACCTACCCACACACCCCACCACGCTCCCACCACGCTCCCACCACGTCCCGGCACCTCCACCCCACGGGAGCTCAGTTTTTGGGACCCCCCCACACGACAAGTTTTAGCCCGAAACCTACCCACACACCCCGCCACGCTCCCACCACGTTCCCACCACGCCCCGGCACCCCCACCCCACAAGAGCTCAGCCAGCAGCGCATCCCCAGGGCAGCGCAAGTGGAACTGTCTACGGGAGGGGCGGGCGAGCGGCCTGACGTTCAGCCCCTACCGGAAACGGTCCCCAGCTGGCCGTGGTTGGTGTTCTCCCGACGACACGGGCGACGTCTCAAAAGGCGAGAAAGCTTCTGAAAAGCCCCGCCGCCGTCCCAGCAGGCTCCCCCCTGACACTTCCCCCCCCACAACGCGCCGCGGAAGTGCGATCGAAATGAGTACGGGAGGATTGAGTCCGAAGACCGACAGCCCATAACTCTTCTGAGTTCGGCGGCAGAGGCGACAGCCGTTGGATAATTGTCCGGGAAAGTCAAGCTGCCTCACTCACTGCCCTCGGGACTAGACGCCTGCATTCAGAGAACTTGCGCAAGTCTCACAATGCTGTAGCGGCTACATGGCATGTGCGAACTTCTAGTTCACTGCGAAGGCTCTCCCCATCCATGCAACATCTCTGGCGCCGCTGAGAGACGACGCTACCAGACGCGAACGACTGTGCCCCCGCCCCCCCCACACCGTCGCTAGAGATCCTCTCGCCCTCCCCCTAAGGCGATAACATCTGCTCTAGAAGCCAATCGGCCGGTAGCCCCCAGATGGCTCGGAGAGAAAGGCAATGTGCGCGACACTCGTGTGTCAATGGAGCACACATGTACTCTCGACGACGGAGAACAGCAAGCTCGCGAGACGCGCGGCTCGCCAGACACCGATCGACCGACAGAGGCTTGATGGTGATGAGTTGTGATTCCCCTGGCCCGAAAGCAACGAGGAGCGAAGAGCAAGAGGAGGAAGGCGGACGAGGATCTTGAAACATTCGCGGGGCAGCAGCGAAAGAGGACGTGGCAACAGGAAGGAAGGAAGGTGCGACAAGAGAAAGGCAGGGGAAGGAGAGCGATTATGTTCCGAGGCACGCCACCAGCCAGCTGCATAGTCGGTGAAAGAACTGCGCGAGGCCAAGCGGCTCTGCCAGCTGTTGGGCATCTTTGAAGGGGCCCCAGGACACACAAATAAATACACACAAATAAAAATATGCCCCATAGGTTCCCATATGTTCTGGGTTTCTGTCTTCTTCCCATATTGTTTTCTATATTTTCTGGGGAATCGACGATTAAGTGTGTCTGTGTGTTTTTGTCCCTCCTGAATATTCCCCGTATCCTCCAATGCGGGATGAGAAGGAGGAGCGCAGGCGCGCCGCGAGGTCAAATCTGAGTCTGCGCAGGACGTCACTATGCTGGACCCCCCAGCAGCCCTCGAAAATGGTGACAGCTCAGCAGATCGCAGCCCCCCAGGGATGGCGAGGTCGAATCTGAATATGCGTGGAACGTACCTGCACTGGATCCCCCAGCCGCCCTCGTTAGCGGCGACCGTTTCAAAGATCGCAGCCCCCAGGAATAGCGAGGTCTGACCTGAATCTGCGTAGAACGTCACTCCGCTGGACCCCCAAGCAGCCCTCGAAAGTGACGACAATTTCGCAGATCGCAGCCCCCCAGGGATGTTAATGTCTAATCTTGACCTGCATGGGACGTCACTATGCAGCCCTCGAAAGTGGCGGCAGTTTCGCTGATTACAGCCCGCCAGGGATGGCGGTGTCTATCCTGAGTCCGCGTATGGCGTCACTGTGCTGCCCCCCCCCCCAGCAGCCCTCGAGAGTGGCGACATGTTCGCAGATCGCAGCCCCCAGGGATGGCGAGGTCGAATCTGACGCCGCGTAAGACGCCACTGTGATGCCCCCCGCCAGCAGCAACCCTCGAGAGTGGCGACCGCTTCGCAGATCGCAGCCACCCAGGGATACGGTAGAGGGAAACAATTACTGAACACTCCCCCTCCGCCCAAAACTCAATGCTGGCACGCGCGGGAGAGACTGCGTTCGAAGTGCATCTCATCAGACCCACCACCAACTTTGAACATTGGGGGGAGGGGGAGGCGTTGACGGATGAATGTGGCATGTGTTCGCTAATTTGTTCCGAGGCCTGTAGCGAGATCTTAGTCTGAATCCGCGCAGGACGTCACTGTGCCGGTTCCCCCAGCATCCTCCGGAGTGGCAACAGCTTCGCAGATCGAAGCCCAAAGGCTGGCGAGCTCGGAGGCAGGCACGAGAGAGATACGAGACAAGAGGACAGAGAGAGAAAGAGAAAGGGAGAGGGAGAGGAGAGGGAGGGAGAGGAGAGGGAGAGGGAGAGGGAGAGAGAAAGAGAGAGGGAGAGAGGAGAGAGACAGAGAGAGAGAGAGAGGAAGGAGGGAGGCGGGAAGGGGGACGCGACCACGGTGCTCTACTCTTACGGAGAACCTGGCAACGGAGGCTTGGGAACGGAAGACGGCCGAGGAATCAGCTCCCGCAGCTTTGTCTGGCGACGTGAAAAGGGGGTCCGCGGGGCTCCGCCCGATCCTCGTAGTCCACGTGCCCGTCGGCGCTCTTGTCTGCGAGCAGGACGAGAGAGTTGAGCTGGTCCGACGTCAGGTACCGCTCCGTCTGCATGACCACCCTCCTGCGGGCGGGGAGGATCAGGAAGGGGGGAATCAGGAAGCAGCTGCTGGGAGGTCGTCGTCGGAAAGATTGAGGAGGATGAAGCCCCATTGCGGGGCTGTTGCGCCAGAAAGGGCCTCGGATTAAAGGGGACTAAGCCGGCTTAAGCGGGAGTAAGCCGGATTAAGCGGGATCAGGCGGGATCGAGCGGGATCAAGCCGGACTTCGGACCAGAGGGCAAGATCAGAATCTAACCTCCCAGGCGTGGCATCCGAAGGGAAGGGGAGCATCGGGAGGGGGCCGAGGGGCAGAAGGGAGTGGGGGGAGGTCCAGCGAGGCGCACTCGCGCCACGTCTGCCGCCCTGCCCCGCCCAACCCTTCCCATTGCCCTGAAGACCACCCTGCTCGCAGAGGCTGTCAAACTGACACCTACCAGACCACCTCAACCCAACCCGAAGACCCGAATTTCGGGTTGGGGGGGTACGGGTTCCATATGTGTTTTCTCGATGTTCCCCGACCCCCCCACACACTGGAAATGGAGGGCAAATTGAGGCCTTCGGGTTGGGTTGGGGTGGTTTGGTGGGTGGTGTCAAACGACCCCCGCTGAAGGCTCGCCGTGAAAACGCAGCAAAAGAGGCATCACATCGGGGGCGAGACGCACGCCAGCTCGGCAACGCGACCAGCGCCCCGTGCGGGAGCGGACGCGGAAGGCGGGCAGACGCCACCGAGGCCTGCGCACACCAGAGAGCTTGACGCCACGCAACGGGGAAAAAGTGGCACGCCCGAGTCCTTCTGGGGTGTCCGCATGCCGATGCAAGGCGTGCGGCCGCCGCCGCGGCGGCGAGAGCGTGGTCCCGATGGGCGGAGGCCACGGAAGGTTCTGAGCGTGGCAGCTCTGGAGACCACCGCATGCGGCAAAGGCTGCATCGAAAGTGCCACTTTTGAAAAGGCTGAGAGCTGCCTGGCTAGAGGAATACATATCGGACGTCAAGTCGGAACAGCCCCGTGCACAAAAAAACTAACAGTACGAATACTAACAATAAACAACACACACAAAAACAAGTATCCCAGTGCGACCCTACCTAGGAGTTGGAGCCCCTAGGAAAGCAGAATTAGTAGTAACAGTAAGGCTAAGCTCAAGCTAAGCTAAAGCTAAGCTAAAGCTAAAATAAAGTTAAGCTAAAGCTAAGCTAAAGTTAAGCCAAAGCTAAGCTAAAGCGAAGATAAAGCTAAGGTAAAACTAAGCTAAAGTTAAGCTAAAGCTAAGTCAAAGCTAAGCTAAAGCTAAGCTAAAGTTAAGCTAAAGCTCAGCTAAAGCTAAGCTAAAACTAAGCTGAAGCTAAGCTAAAGCTAAGCTAACGCTAAGCTAAAGCTAAGTCAAAGCTAAGCTAAAATTAAGCTAAAGCTAAGCTAAAGCTAAGCTAAAGCTAAAGCTAAAGCTAAAGCTCCCAGGGGACTGGGGGAACCGCTCCCAGGGGACTGGGGGAACCGCCCGAGGCGATTTCCACTGCCCGGCCCCTTGAAGCAAAGAAAGTAAGAACCCTTCTAGGCAGAGCCTAGATAGGGAAAAACATACGCAGGCGCAAATTCGCTGGCGGCCCCCTTGTGGGGCCATCAGGCTGCGCGGCGGAGGCTTCACTGCAACTCGCTACAATACCATATTCCAATCTCGGAAAGTCCCTAAACAATGTTTGCACTAAGGACTAGCACTTCTGTTCTAAACAATTGGGTTGGCGTCGCCGCCTCGTCGCCGCCCTTTTTCTGGGCTGGTGTGCATAGATTCTCCTCTCTCAGAAGAAAATAAACTCTACCCCCCCCCGGGATTATCGGCCCACTTTCTCGCATTGCAATTTACACCCAATTCTGCCCCATCGCCCATCCGATATATGAACTCGTACCACCCCAACCGACCCGGTATCGACCCCCCCGCCGCCAGACTCAGCAAAAAACGCTATGCGCGCACCCTCGTTTGCCAAAAACCACAAGTTGACAAGAATCCCTTGCAGAAAATTGGACGAAGCGCACACGCGCGCGTTGCCGCGCGAGCATGCCGGAATCCTTCCAAAACCCTTGGTGTCGGAAGGGCTTCAACATCGAATGTAGAAGAGAACATATAAAAACTCAGGGTTTCGCAACACGGATTTCTGTTTCAGTTGTATATATATATGTGTATATATATGTGTATATGTATATGTATATGTATATGTATATGTATATGTATATGTATATGTAAATGTATATGTATATGTATATGTATATGTATATGTATATGTATATGTATATGTACATGTATATGTATATGTATATGTATATGTATATGTATATGTATATGTATACGTATATGTATGTGTATGTGTATGTGTATGTGTATATGTATATGTATATGTATACGTATATGTATATGTATATGTATATGTATATGTATATGTATATGTATATGTATATGTATATGTATATGTATATGTATATGTATGTGTGCATAGCTGTGTATATACATATGTGTGTATAAGTGTGTATATATATGTATGTATATGTGTATTTCTGTATATAAATATAGATATAGTACGAGCGCGTTCTTGGGTGTTTTTTTGTTTTCCTATGGGAGCAATCTTCAACATGTTCAGAAATACTACGAAACGGGCTTCGCGCGCGCGCATGCCGAACTCGTTCGAACGCCGTTGCGCAAGCGCCGTCGCGAGACCCTATTGCAAAAACATTGGACGAAGTGCACACGCGCGCGTCGTCGCGCGAATGCCGGAATCCTTTCAAAAACCTTCGGTTTCGTAGCGATTTCCAAACCGAATATTATTTCTTAAATGGTTTCGCAACATCTGGTTTCAAAAGAGACTTGCGCGCGGGCCCTTGCGGATTCATTTGGAAATCATAGGCCTTCCAACATTATCATGGAGTGTTGCCAAACGGGCTCCAGACGCCGCACGCCGACAGCATTCGCACGCCCTCGCGCGCGTGCCGGGGGGGGCACGATCCGCGTCAAATCAAACCACGCGGGCCATTATCGCGAGTCGGCAGCGCGCGCATGCCGAATTCGTTTTCAAACCTTCAACGCCGACGCGAGGACGCCGTCATCGTCGCCGGCGTGAACAGCATCGGCGCCCGCAGTGACCGCGCCTTCGTCGGTGCGAACACCGTCACCAGCATCGCCACTAGCATCATCGCGTCTACCGTAGTCGGCGTGGCCACGATACCGCGCCCGCCCACGTGGCCGATTCAAAGTGAAGTGCCCGCTGGAAGGCGCCCAGCGGTCAGCGCCACCGCGGCCGCGTCGGTGGCGCCAAACAAGCTGGCCGCTGCGCGCGCGCAAGGGTTGGCGCGGCCGCAGAGATGCACCAGCCAACACCAAGCATGCGTCGCAGTCGCCACCGCATGGGTTTGCAAACCAAGCTGCGGGCGGGCGGGCGAGACGTTTGCAAGAACATGGGAGTTGACATGCCATTGCGAACAGACACTAATTACACTGCATTCACTTTCTTTTTCTATGACAAACTTGGGAACACCCCCACCCCCACCCCCTCCCCCGAAGTCAGACGCCCGCCCGGGGGATCTGCCAACGATGGTTTACATACGATATTGCCCCAGCGTCCATTCTACACAAAACCCTGCACCACCTCAACCAAGTGGGCATCGACCCCCCCCCCGCCCCTCGCATAAAAAAATGCAGGCACGCACGCCTGCCGCAATTCATCTCAACTTCCGAATCCCGTCCAACGAAAAAGCACGCAGTGCACGCGCGCGCGTCGTCGCGAGCGCACTCCAAAACGCTTAGGGCACCTATGGTGTCGGAAAAACTTCAAAACCGAATGCCCCGAAAACAGAACACGTGGTTTCGCAATATCCGCTGACCATTAACACAGAAACGTTTTCGCGCGCGTTCTTGCGAATTCCAGAAAAAAACATGGATATTTCAACGCGTTCATCACATGCGACCAGGAGGGCCTTCCGCGCGCGCGTAGAAATCATTCGAATGCTCTCGCGCGCGCGCCGGGGGCGGGGGGGGCGCGACCCCTGTCATATCAAACCACGCGGGCCAATCTCGCGCGTCGGCCGCGCGCGCGCGCCGAACCCATCCCAAAACCTTCACCACCGAAGCGCGGACATCATCATCATAATCGGCGCGATCAGCATCGGCGCCGCAATTCACCTTGCCGTCGTCATCGTCATCGTCGTCAGTAGCACCGTTGATATCATCATCGCGCCTGTCGCCGTCGACGTCGCCACAACACCGCGCCCGAGCCACCGACTCGCGCTGAAGCGCCCGCGCGGCAGCGCGGCCTGTGAGACGCGCTGGAAAGACCCAAACGGCCAGCGCCACCGCGGCCGCGTCTGCCGCGCCAGACTGGCCGACCGCGCTGCGCGCGAGCCTGCGCGCGCTCGCGTGGCAGCAGCGAAGCGTCAGCCAGCGTCAAACACAATTACACTCGCCGCCTCATGGACGTTGCAAACCCAGTTGCGGGTGGGCGGAATGATTGCGCGGGCATGGGGATTGGCAACTCACTAGTGAAAACTGGCTGTCAAATATCCCTTCCTGGGAAATTAATAAAATCTGCCCCCCCCAACGGATTGAACGGCCCCCATTCCCCTATTCGAATAACGTGCGTTTCTGCCCCAACGCCAATCCGAAGTCTCAACGTATACCACCCCAGGCAGACCGGCATTCCCCCCATCCTTTCTGGGAAAAACCATATGCTTTCAGGAATCCCATGCAACAAACGGGACGAAGACCATGCGCGCGCGTCGTTGCGCGCATGCCGGAACCCTTCAAAGCCTCAGATGTCGCAAAGATTTCCACATCGAGTGCCCCGAACACATTTTGTTGCCACAACAAAGAAGCTTCGCAACAATACCTTTCGAAATACCTGCGCTCGCGCATTTGCCGCTTCCTTGTAAATGCACATACATACATATATCATGACATACATTATGTTTGTCTATACATATATATATACATATACATATATATGTGTGTGTGCGTGTATACGTGCGTCTTCAACGTTATCATATGAT